TTTTGATTTATTTCTTTCTTAATAGGAATAAAGGTCATGCTGCGATGTTTTAGGTGCGATGTTTTGGGGCTCATTCACACCATACATGTATGGAAACTAACGCACAGATTTCACTTAGAGACATGGGTTTGCATCACGTTTCAGGTTTCTGTGCAGAAAAAATCCACACATGATACCATTATGTAAAAAGGGCACATAGAGAACAATTGTTTTCTTTGGGCCCTGGCAGAAAGTGTGCAGAAAAATTTACATCTTTGCACCATGGTGTGAAGGAGCCCTTAAGATGTAACTGCATTTTTTTAGTGCAGTTGATTTTTTTTTTCGCAGTTAAATATAATTCCAACATCAATAGATTGAAACTAGGTAAATATGTGACTCTTAGAGGGATGGGTTTGGGGGGCTAGTAGGAGTTGGTAGGACACTCTAAAAAAAAAAAAAAAAAAAAAAAAAAAAAAACATTACACGTAAAGCCATCAAGAAGGAGAATATATCTGGATGTCTCAGAGTGCATACCCTAATTTATTAATTTGTGAAATTTCAAAGAGAACCTTTAAAGGTAGAAATAATGGAGCTACCATTGCTGCTTCATTACTCAATCACAGATAAGGACAAGCATGCAGCTAATTAGGTGTTGTCAGTGACTTGCCAAGTAGCAAAGGACTGGTAAATATGACAAGGAGCTTATCCTTCAAAGAGAAGTTATATTTATTTATTTTTATTTTTTTAAATTTAAACGGGTTCGACAAAAAAAGTTAAGCACTACATGATTTGCAGGTATACGACATGTTCGCGTTCAAAGTGGAAGTGATGTAACATCCACACATGCTTTCGGTGTGTGATGAGACACCTAGCTAACAGGTGTGATGCCTCGCTTTTGTCATTCACTGCTTGTGCTGCTAGTAAATATGGAGTCATGTGACTGCAGTGCTCAATCTCAGTCCCGTGAAGACTGAGATTGAGCTCTGCAGTCACTTTTGCAGCAGTTGTTTTCTTATTCCAGGTCACAATCCTGCGCGATGTCCTTTTTGTCTTTCAGTCAGTTGACCTTGTCGACCACGCTTATGCTTATCAGACAATGTTTTCCTGAAAACTGTATATGTCGTCATAACCTTTGATACTGTAACTCGCTACATGGCAAATAAATTGGCAACTAAAGTCACAGAGGCACCAGCTAAGTGGGCACCAACAATTTGCCTTCTTTGAACCTCCATAAACTCTGACATGACTCTATATTACCAGCAGCGCTCGCAGTGAATGACGAAAGTGAGGCTTCCCACCTGTTAGCTAGGTGTCTCATCACACAGCGAAAGCAAAAGAATGTTTCATCACTTCGCTTTCAACACAAAACATGTCACTATCACACCTGAAAATACACAGTGTAACAGATATTTGGGTTTGCTTACATTTTACTATTCATTTTTTAACTTTTAAGGCTATCCCAGAATCATCAAGTTCCACTTTTATATTCATTGGAAGTTCTCAATGGCACACAAGTGCAGTAATCAGTGCACTTGTAGTCTGTTGGCCCTTCCTCCAGCTCTCCAACTGAAGGCCTGTACAAGCAGACATATGGGCAGTTTGCAGGAGCTTGACATTTGACCCTAGATCCAGTGATCTCAGGTGTAATGCTTTCCAGGCTCTTGTGAAAAATAAATAATGCATATTTTTTTCCAACAGAGACATGCATTTTTTTTTTCTTTGGTGAAAAAAATCCCATTACTGGTGGTCAGTGACACTTCAAAAGCTCCACCTTCACTTCAAGCTGTGTTTTACATTCAGCCCATTTACAAGAGAGGAAGGGGCGCTACTAGGGTTTACACTTGTCATGGCTGTAGCTGGTCCACAGCTATCACAAGGTACAGAGTCACTCTGATTGATTGGCGATGCACATTGTGTTCTGAGCTGGCCACTGACAGCTCAGATCATACAGTTGTGACCAAAATTATTCAACCCCCACTGAAATTGAGTGTTTTGGCCAGTTTGACATTGCTTTTGATCATTCAGTCATCTTGCTTACATTTACATTAAAGAGGCACTTGTAGGTCAGACAATTCGTATAACATAACAGTTATAATGAAATAACCACAAATGTCTTTTCTGTTGCTCACAGCATTATCAGTTTTATTCAACCCCCAAGTGACATTCAATCTTAGTACTTAGTACAGCATCCTTTTACAGTTATAACAGCTTTTAAACGTGAAGCATAGCTTGACACAAGTGTCTTGCAGCGATCTACGGGTATCTTCGCCCATTCTTCATGGGCAAAGGCCTCCAGTTCAGTCACATTCTTAGGCTTGCGCACTGCACACTGCTTTCTTTAAGTCCCACCAGAGGTTCTCAATCGGATTTAAGTCTGGTGACTGCGATGGCCACTCCAAAATGTTCCAGCCTTTCCTCTGCAACCATGCTCTAGTGGACTTGGAGGTATGCTTGGGATCATTGTCCCTGTTGAAAGGTCCAACGTCTCCCAAGCCTCAGGTGTGTGACGGACTGCATCACGTTTCCCATCCAATATCTCCTGGTACTGAAGAGAATTCATGGTACCTTGCACACGCTGAAGCTTCCCTGTACCTGCAGAAGCAAAACAGCCCCAAAGCATGATTGACCCTCCACCATGCTTCACAGTAGGCAAGGTGTTCTTTTCATCATAGGCCTTGTTCTTCCTCCTCCCAAACATAGCGTTGATCCATGGGCCCAAACAGTTCTAATTTTGTTTCATCAGTCCACAGAACACTATCCCACAACTTTTTGTGGTTTGTCCACATGGCTTTTGGCATACTGCAGTCGACTCTTCTTATTCTTTGGAGACAGCAAGGGGGTACGCCTGGGAGTTCTGGCACGGAGGCCTTCATTACGCAGTGTGCGTCTTATTGTCTGGGCTGAAACTTCTGTACCCCACATCTGACAAATCTTTTCTCAGTTCCTCAGCAGTCACACGGGGACTTCTCTCCACTCTACGCTTCAGGTAGCGCACAGCAGTCGAAGTCAGCATCTTCTTTCTGCCACGACCAGGTAGCGTTTCAAACAGTGCCCTTTGCCTTGAATTTGCGAATGATGCTTCCTAAGGTGTCTCTCTGGGTATGTTTTAACATCTTTGCAATCTTCTTTATAGCCATTGCCCTTCCTGTGAAGAGAAATCACCTCTTCTCTTGTCTTCCTGGACCATTCTCTTGCCTTCACCATGTTTGTAACCACACCAGTAAATGTCTAGAAGGAGCTGAGTATCACAGTCATTTTAAAGCTGCCTAATTGGTGCTTATTATGCTTGATTGCTGCTCGGTGACATCCACAGGTGTTTTTCAATACCTGATGGAAAGCACCTGTATGAACCTCTGTTCTTCAGAGTGGTAGTCTTTAAGGGGTTGAATAATTGTGGCAATGAAGAAACCACATAAGAACCATTTACTACTGTATATTACATAAAACAATTGATGTCATTTTAGTTGCATTTGGGTAGTTACAACGTCCTTGTAGGATTTGATTCTGAATACAATTCCAAATGTACACTATAGTCCCTAAACCCCTTTACAGCATTGGGGGTTGAATAATTTTGGTCACAACTGTATACTTTCAGGAACACACTAGCTGTCCGAATGTGTTTTTTGACACACGAAGTGGCGGAGCAGTACCATTTATAAATGGCACTTCAGAAATGCATCTTAACTTCCCTGTGGGTTTTTTTCCCCACAATACAGCAGTACAGAGGTGGTTTTAGAAGAACATTCGTAAGAAAAAGAATATTGAACAGTCTCCTAGAAGTGGACCAAAATATGGCCAACTATAGTAGAGAGCAAGAGGGATATTTTCCAGTTATATCTTTTACAGTAGCCAGTAGAGATGAGTGCGAATTATTTAAAAAATTTGGTTCGGCTGATTCGCCGAATTCGCCGCATAAATTCGATTCGAGCCGAATATATTCGCTGCGAATTTAACTTATAAAAAGGGTGTTTCTAGGCTTCAGAGAGCCTTTATATTAGTGCAGAACACTGTACCTTTAATTTAAATGCCCTTGGAGTCTGCTGGGGAAGAGAAATAATACTGTCAGTCAGTATGACATGCAGATGAGTGCCGTCGATCTTAGAATCACCGCACACTTCACTCATTTGGGCAGTCACGGGGCCAAAACCAGAGTGTGGAGCCACAGTGTGGCGGTGGAGGCAGCAGCAATGGGAGGCCATACAGCACCCTATGACAAAATGGAACCCACCAGCAGTGTGAGGAGACCTGAAAGTGGCACATGGCAGAGTGTGGCGATGGAGACAGCAGCAATGGGAGGCCGTACAGGGACCCATGACACACTCTGGACCTGGCAGCAGCATGAGGAGGCGGTACAGGGGCCCATGACAGATTACGGGCCTGGCAGCAGCATGAGGAGTCGGTACGGGGGCCCATGGCAGATTACGGGCCTGGCAGCAGCATGAGGAGGCGGTACAGGGGCCCATGGCAGAGTGGCGGAGCGTAAGCAGCTAAAATTGAAGGCCATACAGAGGCCTATGTTAAAAAGTCCCCCCAGCAGCAGCGTGGGGAGACGACTATCAAGAGTCCAATGGCAGAGTGGCGGAGCAGAAGCAGCTTCAATTGAAGGCCATACACAGGCCTAGGTTTAAAAAGTCCCTCAATAACGAACTCTACTCCTCCGTGCAATCTACTTACGAGACCCTTGGCAGGTCTGGGTCCAATATGTGGTAGAGACTGGTTTTGTTCAGCCATGCTTGAGTGAGTAATAACAGGTCTGTGCTGCCCTTTGGTGTCTGGCTTAATGCGCACAACATGAACGTCCCAGCGTTTGTCAACGATTTGCCGTTAAGTGATGCAAACCCGCTGAACCACGTTCATGAGGAGCCGGTACAGGGGGCCATGAATCAGTATGGACCTGGCAGCAGCGTGAGCAGACGACAGAGGCACATGGCGCAGGGTGGTGGTGTAGGCAGCATTATTCTGAAGCCATACACAGGCCTCGGTTAAAAAGCGGAAGCCGTCAGCAGCGTGAGCAGACGACAGAGGCACATGGCGCAGGGTGGCGGTGGAGGCAGCAGCAATGGAAGGCCATACAGCACCCTATCACAAAATGGAACCCACCAACAGTGTAAGGAGACCTGAAAGTGGCACATGGCAGAGTCTGGCGATGAAGTCAGCAGCAATGGGAGGCCGTACAGGGACCCATGACACACTCTGGACCTGGCAGCAGCAGCAAGAGGAGGCGGTACAGGGGCCCATGGCAGAGTGGCGAAGCGTAAGCAGCTTAAATTGAAGGCCATACAGAGGCCTATATGTTAAAAAGTCCCCCCAGCAGCAGTGTGGGGAGACGACTATCAAGAGTCCAATGGCAGAGTGGCGGAGCAGAGGCAGCTTCAATTGAAGGCCATACACAGGCCTAGGTTAAAAAGTCCCCCAGCAGCAGCGTGGGGAGACGACTATCAAGAGTCCAATGGCAGAGTGGCGGAGCGGAAGCAGCTTCAATTGAAGGCCATACACAGGCCTAGGTTAAAAAGTCCCCCCAGCAGCAGTGTGGGGAGACGACTATCAAGAGTCCAATGGCTGAGTGGCGATCCGGGAAGTCAGCGTTGTGATTGCAGATGCAATGCAGAGATTCTATGAGGTGATGCCGTGGGTGCGAAGAAGATCATATACCGTCATACTTCCATCCATAAGACGGAACAACCTGCGAACCGGGAGCTTTATTGCCCTGACCCGCTGAGCAGCTTCTGGGATACCCAAGAGTTTGGCTTCTGTGGGGAATATGGTTGAAAACTGAAACTTAAAGGCATGTTGACGGAAGGGCACCAGTGTCAGTGCTCCGGAGGGAATATAGCTTCAAAGCTGACACTTAAAGGTATATCGACGGTCAGAGACCACAGGAAGTGGAGCTTGCGTCTTAAATCGACTGAATGTGGCAGACGTGAAACGTCTACGGGCCGTATATGAAACGGGTTGTTCCTCTTTCTGGAATAAGTGTTGGAAATGGCCACTCTTTTTTGGTGTGGCGTTTTGTCTATTTAATTCCGATAACGGACTCTACTCCTCCGTGCAATCTAGTTACGAGACCCTGGGCAGGTCTGGGTCCAATTTGTGGTAGAGACTGGTTTTGTTCAGCCATGCTTGAGCGAGTAATAACAGGTCTGTGCTGCCCTTTGGTGTCTGGCTTAATGCGCACAACACTGAACGTCCCAGCATTTGTCAACGATTTGCCGTTAAGTGATGCAAACCCGCTGAACCACTATCATGAGGGAGCCGGTACAGGGGACCATGAATCAGTATGGACCTGGCAGCAGTGTGAGGAGACCCGAAAGTGGCACATGGCGCAGGGTGGCGGTGGAGGCAGCAGTATTCAGAAGACATACACAGGACTAGTTTAAAAAGCGGAAGCCGTCAGCAGGTGAGCAGACGACAGAGGCACATGGCGCAGGGTGGCGGTGGAGGCAGCAGTATTCGGAAGCCATACACAGGCCTAGGTTTAAAAACTGGAACCCAGCAGCGTGAGCAGACGACAAAGACACACATGGCAGAGGATGGATCTGGCAGCAGTATGAGAAGGCGGTACAGGGGCCCGTGGCACAGTGTGGTGATGGGGGCTACAGCAACTGGATGCCAGAAAGTGGCCGATAGGGCTATATACTGCATGGAATTATAAAGTTGTAAAGACAGCGGCCTATAAGGCTTTACACACTATAACAATCATGACTTGATTGACCATTGGCCTATAAGGCTATACACAGCATGAATATCATGACTTATTCTGAGAGTGGTTTGGAAGGCTATATACTAAAAGTAATTCATGAGCTGTCCGGACAGCGGACAATAAGTACATATATACAAACAAAATCAATTCATCAGCTGTCCAGCCAGCGGCCTCAAAGGCGACACATATAGAAAGCAATTCATGAGCCGTTCAGACAGCGGCCTCTAAGGCGACAGATATACAAAGCAATTCCCGAGGTGTTCAGGGAGCGGCCTGAACGGCTAGGTTATTACTAAATATATTTTTGTGGCCAAACATCGGCCTATAAATAGATGTCTACACAGTGACAAAAAATTATGTCGCCAGACAGCGGCCCCTAAGGCGACAGATATACAAAGCAATTCCCGCGAGCGCACAGGGCCCACAGTGTCTGAGGATGGACGTTGGAGCAGAAAGGCAGAGACCAACTGACTACATAGGTGGTTTTTATAGTACTTTTATTTTGGCCTCCCTCTCAGCAGGTGTGAAAAAGGCCACCATTTTTGAACGGTAGCGAGGGTCCAACAAGGTGGACAGCCAAAAGTCATCCCTCTGTCTGACTGATGGTTATTATTCGGCTGTCGCTACGCAAGCAACCGAGCATGCTATGGGCCATTTGTGCCAAGGAATGCGAGGGACTCCCTGCCTCCATCTCCACAGCATACTGCCACGGTGCGTCTGGGTCCTCTGTCTCCTCCTCCTCTACCAGATGCTCCTGCTCCTCCACTCCTGTCCGCTGAGGTGTGGAAAAACCACCCATTTCACTCAATAATTCCTGAGCACCAATGTCCTCCTCTACCTCCTCCTCTTCTTCCTGTCCTGCCCCCACAGGGGTCATGTGGCGTTGAGATCTGTGCGCCACGTCTACCGCACCCTGACCAGCCATTGTTAACAGCATTTGTTCCAGGACGTGCAACAGAGGAATGACGTCGTTCATCCCATAGTCCTGCCGACTCACGAATAGCGTGGCCTCCTCAAAGGGCCTGAGCAAGCGGCAGGTGTCACGCATGAGCAGCCAATGGCTGACGTCTAAGTTACACAGGGGAGTACCTTTATCCGCTTGTAACATCAGGAAATCGGTGATAGGCCTTTCGCTGTTCGTAAAGGCGGTCTAACATATGTAGGGTTGAATTCCACCTTGTTGCAACGTCGCAGATCAGGCGATGCTGTGGAATTCCGTTCTGCCCGCTGCAGCTCAAAGGAGGGTGTGCTTTGCGGTGTAGGAATGGCTGAAATGCATGCAAAGTTTACGTGACATTTTAAGGATGTCTTGCAGTGGGATGGTGGATTTTAGGAACCGCTTGACAACCAGATTGAACACGTGAGCCATGCATGGCGCATGGCACAACCTTCCTTGACGCAGAGCAGACACCATGTTCTTTCCGTTGTCGGTCAACATGGTTCCGATTTTCAGTTTGCGCGGAGACAGCCATCTGTCGATTTCTCTGTTTCATTACACTCAGAAGTTCCTCCCCTGTGTGACTACGTTCGCCAAGGCATACCAGGTGCAGCACAGCGTGACACCGTTGCGCCCTGCACATGTGATATGCCGGTCGGGTAATGGGACTTGGCACGGGGGTGGCGGCTGAGGACACGGCGGAAGAAGAGGTGGTAGAGGCGGACATCTTTGCTGGACCAAGGACGTGCAAACGTAGGAGGCAAAAGCGGCGTGACCTGTCCAAGTTGCTGGTGCGGCTGTGCCGGCACCACGTTCAACCAGTTCATCATCCAGTGGGCCGTAAATGACATGTACTGTCCCTGACCGTAGTTACAGCTCCACACGTCGGCGCTGCCGTGCACTTTTGGGCAGAGACCGACATGCTCAAAGACTGGCCCACCATCTCTTCTACATGTGAATGCAGGGCTGGCACTGCCTTTTTGGCGAAGAAATGCCGGCTTGGCACTCTCCACACGCGGCTCGGCACAAGCCATCATTTCTCGGAAAGGTGCTGAGTCCACCACTTGGAAAGGGAGGGACTGCAGCACCAGCAACTTGGACAGGAGGACGTTCAGCAATTTCTGCACCGTCGGGTGCGTGCTCGCAAACTGTTGTCTCTTGGAAACGGATTCCAAGAAAGAGACTGCTGACGGAATCCGTGAAGAGGAGTAGCAGGAGAAGGAGCATCTGAAACGAGCGGAAGATGCCAACGAGCGACAACTCCCCTCAGCAGAGGTGTTGGAGCCTTGACTGGCTGATAGAGGGCGATTGACGTCGGGTGACGGGTGAACGGAGCGGGTGATGGAGCGGGGGCTGGGGCAGGCAGAACCGCCGTATCTTTATCACGGTTTTCCCAGGCACACCGAATGGCGCGACGCTGCATATGCTGACGCAACGCTGTGTATCCCAACATTGGCCCCCTGGCCACGCTTGACTTTCTGGCCACATAGTCGACATACGGCTACGTTTACTTCCTCGGAGCGGCTTGACGAAAAATTGCCAACACAAGAACCGCGCCGAGTAGGAAACTTTGCCCCCCGCTATACTCCTCACTGGCTGACTGCTACTTCCTCCGTGCACACACGGCACCACTACTGGCCGTGGTGGTAGGCTGCAGTGGAGCTGGTGCTCTACTCCCGTGGCCGTTTGGCTCCACTGACACTGCTGCGACCCCATGCTGCTGCCTCCTGGGCAACCCACCGACTGTTTTGCTCGCTGGCAAGCTGGCACCCTCTTCTCCTGATGATGCGGAAGCAATAGCCTGATGACGACGAGGCTGGCCAAGTGCGATCAGCCTCATCATCATCAATTAGGGTCTCCGCGTCACTACTAGCCCCCTCGGCTGCGTGTGGGTCAGGAGACAGACCTGTCTCTAGACCGGCTACCGAGCCACTCTCCTCGCCAGTACTTTCTCTTCGCCTGGCTGCTGAAGAGGCGGATGTCTCTTCCCCCCTAGATCCTGACCGCCCTCTGTTAGCTCTTCCTCACTGTACAGTGGGGCTGAGCCCACAGCATGCGATACTTCGCTTGGTGAGGGAACACACCAAGGACAGGGGCAGGTCGAGGACACGTGATTTCAGTGGGCTTGCTCCCGGGCCATGCCAACTAACGGTTGTGTCTGACGTACCCACCGACCGTATATTGGCTGTAGGTGTCAGAGGTGACCTGGGAAGAGGAAGACGACCGAGTCAACCAATCGATGACGGCAGGGTTGTCGGTGGAGACACGACCGCTGGATGGATGACCACCGGGAGCACTGGCCTCTGGCTGCGACTAGTGCTGCCTCGACCCCCCTTCCTCTGCTGCCACGTCTGCTCGCTCCTGAAACATTGCCTCCTCTGCCACTGCCTCTGCGTGTTGTTCTGACATACTCTTTAATTCAATAAGCACCCCAAAAATAAAAACGGATTTAAACTCTCTCTTTGAACGTACAATAGTGGTTTGTGAAGCAGAAAGTCAGTTTATTTAGCACAATCGGTCAATTGCAGCTTGCCGTTGGCTGAAAACTGTACGTTCCTGTCACTGGAAATGCACTAATCACCCAAAAAATATTACCGCCAGCCGGCGTGTAAATATGGATTTAAACTCTTTGAACGTACAATAGTGGTTGTGAAGCAGAAAGTCAGTTTATTTATTGTAGCACAATCGGTCAATTGCAGCTTGCCGTTGGCTGGAAACTGTACGTTTATGTCACTGGAATGCACTAATCACCCAAAAAATATTACCGACACCCGCGCGTGTAAATGGATCTAACTCTTTGAACGTAACAATAGTGGTTGTGAAGCAGAAAGTCAGTTATTTGTACACAATGGTCAAGTTGCAGCTGCAGCTTGCCGTTGGCTGGAAACTGTACGTTTCTGTCACTGGAATGCACTAATCACCCAAAAAATATTACCGCCAGCCGGCGTGTAAATGGATTTAACTCTTTGAACGTACAATAGTGGTTGTGAAGCAGAAAAGTCAGTTTATTTAGCACAATCGGTCAATTGCAGCTTGCCGTTGGCTGGAAACTGTAACGTTTATGTCACTGGAATGCACTAATCACCCAAAAAATATTACCGCCACCCGGCGTTGTAAAGGATCTAACTCTTTGAACGTACAATAGTGGTTGTGAAGCAGAAAGTCAGTTTATTTAGCACAATAGGTCAAACTTTGCAGCTTGCCGTTGGCTGGAAACTGTACGTTTGTGTCACTGAATGCACTAATCACCCAAAAAATATTACCGCCAGCGGCGTGTAAATGGATTTTAACTCTTTGAACGTACAATAGTGGTTGTGAAGCAGAAAGTCAGTTTATTTTGCACAATCGGCAAAACTGCAGCACCCAACTGTGCACGACAGCCACCAAAAAAAAAAAAGGGTGTATGTCACTTTAAATTTTCGATTTTTTGATAGCTGTGGCCCCTGAGTAACGATTCTGTGTCCCTGAGTAACGATTCTGTGTCCCTGAGTAACGATTCTGTGTCCCTGAGTAACGATTCTGTGGCCCTAAAGTCTCTGTGGCCCTAACTCTGTCCCTTAATACAGACAGGTCTTTCTCTCTTGAATGACAGGAGGCTAATGGAGAATTCTAAGATGGCCGCGATTTATAGTGCTGGCTGGCTGCTGCTGATGGCTAATGCGATCACATGTCATGAATGCAT